TTTACCAACGAATAGTGGGATTGACCGTTACATTATAACACCCTCATGGCTAAAAGGGCGAGCATGTTTGGTAGGATGCGGACATAAAATGAATCCTTTACTTTTCGAACGTCACCTGTAAAATGAGTAATAAATGTACTTACTACTGAGGAAAGGTTTCTCGTATTTTATTTGCATACTTTATATGCCTGGCGCCCAGTGTGATGTTGGCTCTATTAAAAGAAATTCAGTATAATTTCGCTGAAAAGCTGTCAGCAGTTATGCATTACCGACAAATAAGGTCCCACATCTAAACCACCATTCACTGATCTCAAGTTGAGTAATATTCTGTTATAACTAGTTATACTTGTTAATAGTCGATAGTTAGTGAAACTCCACAGCTATAGAACTGGGGAAAACAAAGGCATTTGTACATTTCGCAAATATTTCATTTATAAAATACCATAGTTTCGCCAGTACAGGCATCGTCAGTATTGTTAAATATATAATATGCCTAATATATCTTACGGAATATATAATTGATTATAATCATGCTTCGCCAGCTTAGAAAAGGCGTTCAACTCGTAAAAATATTCTGCATTATTGATATTAGAGGGATAAATTTGAACTTCCTCAGTTCCTTCATCGTCTCTTTATGTCAATATACTGTTAATAGCGGCTCTTCGTAAGTGGTGGCAGGGCACAAATAGCCCGTGATTATATACCCTTGCGCTTAACAGCAACCAAACCAATAAACCAACCACACCTTGTTGTTTAACTTTGACTATTTGTTCTGTTGTCCTTATTTTGATTATGTTTCATTGGGAAGAACGTTCTACCCACAACCGACTATGGACTCAATATTTCGCCTTGTGGATTATTTAGGTGTTTGTATGCTATAGAAGCCTTAAAATGAAACATCGATTTATAATAAAAAAAATAGTATTCTGCAGATAGAGGTCGTGATATGTTTATTTTAGAAAATTGTCAGAATATATGTAATTGATTTATTGCTTATTAAATTAAGATTAGTTAATTTTCGTTTATAATGTATTTATAAGACCAAATCATTACCCAGTTTTTATGTGTACAACAACGATTAAGATTAAGACTACAGCAAAGCATTATTTACGCTTTTAATACAGTTATTGATAGATGCGTTGACAACACAATGAAAATTCTGAGGATATTCTGAGTCTATTCTTCACATGATAGGATAACATATGTGATGATTTTGTGTTCTCAGCTGGACCCATTATGCTATGAACTCTAATTCCTTTTATATATATATATATTTGATTTTGTCTGTAGACTGCTCTGTCAAAAGTATCCGGACACCTCTTCAGCTTATGACATGATCTATTTAGAATGTATTACAAGGGCGATAAGTGGGTATAAATATGTAGGTTCGCCAGATAGGTAGAACAGTAGTGTGTGTGTCAAATGTCTAAACGATGTGTATGCCGTGAAATAAGAGTGAGAAGAGGAACTGTAATCTCCTTTCGAAATTTGGAAAAATCGATGCTTGAAATATTGTCATTAAGGATACTTGAAACGGTCTGTGGGGCAAATCGTGTAATATACGGACGAATGGACCACGAGAAGCACATACCACTGATTTTTCGATATGTTACTATATCTACACAATCGTTTTCAATTACTGAGTCCGAGGCCTAGCATGGCTAGATGGTTAGGGGGGCTTGACTCGCAATCTGAGGGTCGCGGGTTCGAATCCCCGTCCCACCAAACATGCTTGCCCTTTCAGCTGTGGGAGCGTTATAATGTGAAGGTCAATCCCACTATTCGTTGGTAAAAGAGTAGTCCAAGAGTTGGCGGTGGGTGGTGATGACTAGCTGCCTTCCCTCTACTCTTGCACTGCTAAATTAGGGACGGCTAGCGCAAATAGCCCTCTTGTAGCTTTGCGCGAAATTCAAAACAAACCCCACCAAATACTGAGTTCGTCTTTACAAGGGTATTGAATATTTCATCTCCTAACGAATTGCCCGAAACTTTCACAATTTTATCCTTCAGCTGGGGAATGTTTGCTGGCAATAGATTCGCATCTTCATCAGCTCCATAATCAGCAGTTAGGTAGGAGCGAGGTGAGGAGAGCGTTTCGGCGGCTGTGAAATTGGCCCTCAACAAAAGTCAGTTTACAGTGTTGCCCAGTATTGCAGTTATTGTGATGGACCAGATCCACTAATATGACTAATTGATCCAACTTAACATTGTGTTACTGCCTTCCAATGCAGGTGTCAGTTCCTTCTTGTGCTTTTATACTAGCCTAGTATGAAAAATACCGTATTTTTCGGTGTATAAGACGCACTTTTTTACCCCAAAAATCAATGTCAAAATCTGCTTGCGTCCTATACACTGAAAGTATGAATAATATATATGTATATATACGATATACACAAGCCATGTGTACGTATATTTAAATAGGCATGCATAGTTTAGTTTTTCTTTTAAAAACATAACTATTTATAATGCTTCCTATATAATAAAAAAAATTAATTACAGTG